TCTTCTGTTAATTCATGAAGCATTTTTATTTAAAATGGATGATATTTATTCTTCTTTAAGTATTTCCACGTCTTCCAACAACGACGCGGAAATATTTAACACATCACACGTTGATGCGATAGCAGCAGACGACATCATGGGCACATTAAATACTTCTGTTAATATCTGACGACCAGTTCTTTTGCGGTCTTCGACGCTTCCAGTTTCCAAAAACTTATTCACAAGCTCTCTTAAATATTTTCGACTAATTGGATGTTCAGGAAATCGTTCCTTAAATTGTCGCCCTGTTTCATGTAGATTTCTGTCAGCACGAGCGAATATTAAAATTGCTTCGATATTGTGCTCTAAACTCCTTCTAGCCATTTTGATCTCGCCTTTCTTTGGTTATACTTGGTCGGGTAGAATTCAAAGATAGAAATGAAGGAAAATATTTGCATGCTGCCTTAAATACAAAATTTCAAAGTACCTACAAACTTTAAAATTGTTGTTATGACAATTTTTTCTTAGAAGTTTTAAAAAGAACTTTCTTTTTATCCTTTTCTTGTATTGATTGTTTCATAAAAACATTCTAAAAGAATTGCTGATTTTAACCCTGCTTAATCCGAGCGTAGACCGACCTTTAACTGACCGTCCACCATTTATCTGGCCCATTGTATCTCGACAGGTAGTCAACGAAGATACGTTGGTTTTTCCGGCGAAATTCCGCATTTTGTTTAATTTTTATGTAAAAAACTAATAAACCGATATTTGATTGTGAGGTATCGTTGAATTCGTATTGTTTTATTCTTTCGAAAGATACCATAATATACTGGGTGTTCCATTTAAAAAAACAAAGCTGATCCATTTTCCGGAAAAACTAAAAGTGATAGCAAAATTTTCCATAAGAAAATATTTGTGCTGATAAAATATAGAAACTGACGCTCTTTTGTTCATATTGATATCTCAATCTGTTCAGAAGTTAAGCAGGGGGGGGGGTTACTTTACGCTAGCACTGTATGTGTAACACCATCCATCTGAGAAATCCTGAAGACTACGTCATACAAGCGTGAGTTGTTGGTTGCATAACTCGTATAACGCCATCTAGCGGAGAAATTCGGTGGTGTAAAAATAGAAATAACAATTATATGATAACACATTTATCATTTAATTGTTAAGTAAAACAAATATTCTAATACAACTACTGTTTACAAAATTTATATCCATACAGAGGAACATCAGATTACATATCAGATTTCTTGAAAAAACAAATTTCTAGAAATAACAGGTGTTACTGTTACATAAAATGCGAATAAAGCGGTTTTTATTATTAAATCACCGAGGTTAAGTGAACTTTACTTAACTTACTTGCACCTCACAATAAATTTAATTGTTTTAAGTTTTTTAACATTACATTTATTTAATATAGTTAATCTATATGAAATTAAACAATAATTATTTACTTAAAATTGTATTAACATTACTTAACACGTTATGCTATAATGACCCCAAGCTAATGTATTAATTCCGTTATCACAAATATATCGCTTGGAGTCATTTCGTGAAAGAACCAATTTATTTTGTAATACAGTAAATATTCTGCGGTTAAAACTTCTAAATAATGTTTGTTGTTTAAATAATACCAATTTCGAATTTAGACAATCTAAATAATTTTGAAAAGAGATGTGATGTTTAACAACGGCCTTCTTAACTCCTTTGAATTTTTTGGTAATCCGCCCATCAGCGACCCTTTTAGCCTTTGACCTCAAACCAACAAATTCGACCATTAGTTTCCACAATTCTCATCTTTCATTTTAATTTAATTAATTTTAGTTTGTATTTTATTGTTTTGCTATTGTTTTGGTTTGATTTTAATACATTTAATTTATTATTTAAATTTAACTAGATTTCTTTTATTTTTATAAATTTCATTTAACTTTGCTCCCTAAATTCAAGCCGGCGTGACAAGTTCTGCTTGTCGCATACGCCTTTAGCACGCCCACACAACATAGTAGAGCCGCTCCTTACAAATTGGTGTCAGAAGTGGGACATTATAGTTTTTGTATAATTTTCGAACCTTTAATTTCGTACCAATCAGAATAATTACTAACCCATATTAACATGGCAGAGGCCGCTCCACAAGCTATGACCGTTACCCCCGTGTCACTGGGGATGGTCGCAGCAACGGTAGAAGCGTTGTCGGGACAAAGGAACGTGAAATTATATTTTGAACGAATAGAGCAAAAAGAACCACTTTAGATAGGTGGACAGAACAAGAAACATTGAATATCGTAAAATATCGACTTTCCGGAGAGGCGTATCGATATAACAAAAGTGATACAACATTGAAAATAATGGTAATGTTTACTGAATTCAAAGAAAAATTTATCCAAAGATTCAAGCCGCGAAGAATTCCAGGTGAAGCATACAACAAATTGAATCGCACTTTCCGGGTACCTAATGAGACTGTGTCCGAATTCTAGACTAGAATAAAATTGGTAGCTAATAAAATTTTGGAGGATAACCAAAGTAGGGCGACAGATGCCGAGTTGCCAGGTATTAAAAAGAAAATTAACGAAAGCGTCCTTAATCAATTTAGGATGGGGTTGCGAAGAGAGATTTCTCAAAACATCGGAATTATATTAATGCGAGAAGAAAGTCTGACTTTGGAGAAGGCGGCGGAAATTGCGACTCTAGAAGAGAGTCATCAATTCGCCTTGAGGCGTCGATTCAAATCGGTTCGGGTGATGGAATCTTCGATTACATGTTTCAAATGTGGAGAAATTGGTCACATATCAAGAAATTGTAGAAATCAACAAAGACAAAAAACAACGCAGTTTAAAGGAAATCAGAAATTTAATTCTATAAACCTCATAAGTAATAGATTAACCGAAGGGAATTCGCCAAGACAGTCGTTTAGCTGTTATAATTGTGGACAAGAAGATCACTTTAGTCGAAATTGCACTCTTCCCAGAAATCATAGACAAGGCACGACTCAGAAAAATTTTAAACGTGTAAGACTTAGGGAGCCTCTTATTAGGATTAGGTGTGCATTTAAACACAATTTCTTCGAATGTACGTTTAATTAACTTTTCATACGCCTAATGTAAAACTTACAACTACCATAAAACATAACATAATGTCGACTCTAACGGACACGGACACAAGGCATGCCGCGTAATAATTAATATACAAACTAATAAAAATCAGCGTTTTAAAATCAAATTAAATTAATGCTACAACTCGGCCATCCTGACAATAGTTCGTCCTCGAACTACACACAAAAGTTTTTTTTTAATGTTTATCCACGGACGCAAATTATTTCCCACCGGTACACCCTCATATGGTCTATTCGAATTTTGAAATCCATCAATATCTACTATGACAAATCGAGTTTCAAAAGAAATTTTCTGGGAACATTTCTTCGTTAGGAAATTAGGTATTATTACAGCTCAATTTTTTTTTTTACTTTAGGTAACTTTAGTTTTGTTCGGAATTTATGTTATTTGTTATCTTTTCTTCATGTTGGTGGGAAATTTGTGTTGCATATAGGCGGTTATTGAAATATTTGTGTTTATTTGGAATTAATTTTATTAATTTTTGTTTAATTTGATTTTTTTAGCAACGATCTCGATTCAGCAACTCCCTAAATCCCTTTTATCCTTTCAGATGATTTTTCTTTTCCTTTTCTTGATTTTTCTTCGTTTTTCGTTCTTTTGTGGATGTGTATATTGAGCGTGCAGGTGTAATTTTTTGGGCCCTTTACATTTTATTTAAAAGCATTGTGGCTTACCTCTCGAGTCTCTTCTTGAGTAACCAGTTACGATACACTGTGGTGTAAGGTGATTGAGGCATTTTTGGGTTCATCACCACTGCATATCTTTTGAAATCGTGTTTTCACGTTTCAAGTCATCGGATTTTTAGTGTATTTACATTAAAATTCATCTTTCTGGTTTCAAACTTCGAACATCAGAGGTAAGCGTGTATTTTTCTAACTTTTGCTATTTCTTTTAACCTTTCATGTAATCATTCTTTCTCTCTTTACCAAACTACTTTAATTAACTTACTCTTTAAAAAATATATATACATACTAAACTAATTTCTCATTTAATCTAATTTAAATCCTAAAACTGTTTTATCTTCTTTTCCTAATTTCTTTTTATTATTTTCATGCAGGTTTTAGTAAGAGCCAATTTTATTTGGTAATTTTTCTAAGAGCGAAATTTTGTTCAACCAAACATTTCGTTCTGCCATGTTGGAAACATCCACTTCGGTGTGTTGCTTTCCTACAAGAAACATTAAGCATCAAATTCTAAAATAACATCATCCATACTTACCTTTCCCTCGCACCAGAGGTCGTTGCTGCGGAAAGTTAAGATACAAAATCATCGATACTAGAACCTAGAACATTACATCGATGAAAAAGGTCAGGAATATCTTTTAAAACAATTCAATCATACTATATTTACCGGTTATATATCGATATATTATATATTATATATATTGCAAAAAAAAAATCAAATAAAATAAATTATATAGGTTAAATCAAATCAAAATAAATATCAACCTAACGAAAAATAAATATAAAAAAAAAATGAAACTAAGAAGATTTAATTGGATAAACAAAAAAAGAAAAAATTAAACACCTGATTGACCGCGACACCGATTGTCTACCTCAAGTACTTGTTTCAGAAATCGATTAAATTAAAAAAACAAAATATTGAATTTCAAAATAACAAAAAAAAATACCAATTAAACTCTTTTACAAAAGTAAAATAAATTATAATCAATTGATTCGCAAATTCAAAACAATACAAAATTATGTATCCTAAATTTAGTTTGTAGGTTAGATCCTAAATTATACTAGGTAAGTATTATTATAATGTACAAAAAAAAATTGAATTATCAAACTTAATAATTGAAATAGTAGACAGAAAATAAAGTAGAATAAAAAAAAAATTCAAAGTTGAAAACGAATTGTTGATCTGACCTTAAGTTGTCTTCTTTTTTTTTTTATATTTTAACAGTCAACTTCGAAAAGGTATGAGTTGGATGATCTTCAGCAGCTTCCTTCGAGATGGTATGGTAAGGAGTGGATATCCAGTGGTATTGAAGTTATTAAAATGTGCTCAGAATTTTAGGACCAAGAATTTCATTAACAAAAATGGTTCCCCCAAAAGAAACACCTACGGATCGTAATTACCGATTAGAAAAAAAAAAATCGCTAAGGGAATGGATGAAAAGAATGAACGGATGTAAGTGTGAACGGTTGATTTTCTTTTATTTTTGTTTTTTTTTTTTTTTAAAGAAAGGGGTAAATCTAATCAATGAAATTATGCTAATCAATAAATAATAAGGATGTTGTGATATGGATGGGAAAAGTTATGATTAACCGAAATAAGCAATTCTTACCTCAGTTGGTCGAGGTCTACGCCCAAAATTTATAGAAAATGGTGAAAAATATTAAATCCGGTTAAAATATCCGGGTCGGGTTATAGAAAAGACTTAACCGCGACTTTTCAACGGGAGTGATATTTCTTATGTCTTCGGATTAGCCTCAAGACGCCAAAATTTAATCGCAAATTTTCCAAAATGTCTATCTACGCTGATTTTCACTCGTCGTTGCTTTTCTTCACCACCGACGGAGAGAATTGTCACCAAAACCAAAGAGACCGAGTTTTCAAAACCCGTCCGAATTTATACTCGACTCGAATTTCCAAAAAAAATGTACCTTATCGCGCAACTCCCAAAAGTAAAAGTCAAAATAAATACTGTAGGTATTAAACATCTGTCTTTCATTTAAAAACTAAATCCCTTATTAACAAACAAAAAAAAAACCTCCCTCCCAAAAAAAATTAATAAGATTATTAATAGATATTTTGCAAAAAAAATTTTAAAGAAATAAGGAATAACGACATCTAATGGGTAAAAGGAAAGGTAAGGACAAAGGATTCTCGAATTCTGCTGGTGAAACAAAAAATATAAAACAAATTTTGCTACCTGTCTATTGAGAAGAAACACTAGGAACTGAAAAAAAATAAAAACGTAACAAAACAAAACTTTTCTATTTTGCCTGTATATATTATTCTTATTTTTTTTTAATAAAAGTTAGTATTTTTGTATGCTACCCAAATTTCATATTTCATTGTCTGTTATCTGTGTGTTCGTTTACAATTTTCCTATTTTGCTTAACATCTTGTGACAGTTCTTGGGCCGTACGGGAGTAACTGTGTGGCGCCTTAGAAATGAAACCCTCCCCTGAGCTGAGCTAGGCGAGGACCCGTACTTGCGCCGTGGAATTTTGTAGTTAGTTTTGTGTTGTGACTAGTTTTTTTTGTATTTTTCTTTGTCGGTAAGGCGTCACAATTGAATGTAAAACGAATGTTGGGTTTTGGTGTTACAACCGATAAAAGCGGTTAGTCGAATAAAACAGATCGATTTCTGATCAAATTATATCGATAGCGGATGGAATAATATTTTATAGATATTCAAAAGTTATTGGTTTACGATTTCTCGTAATAAACTGAATCTGATGCTTGCTCGCTATTCTAATAACAAAAACTGTTTAATTTACAATTGATACGGCAACAATACATCTTGTTTCTAGACGATCAGATTCAGGAAGCTCATGACTAAAGATAATTCCGCTGTTTTTAAGCATTTAAAAAACGAAAATCACAACATCTCTTTTAATAATGTGAAATTGACAATAACAACAATTCTTTGTTTAATGATATTACAGAATTTAATAACCATCGACTTTTCCCAAAATACGTGTAGCTCCCTGAATCTGATCTACTTTATCGCTTAGCCTACAGTTTTTAACAAAATTTACTTTTCACATCTTTTAAACCTTTTAAATTTTTAAATCTGGATCGTTTCGTACTGTGATATGATTCACAGTTTCAACACCGCACAGATAGCCTACATAACCTTAAATAAAACTCACGTTAGTCGTCTTACTGCGCTTCACGCTATAACGCGTTTTTACTTTTTGAATTTTTTTAATTTGCGTTCTTTTTGTTGATGGTAATATTTTAAGTTTTATTGCGACATTTTGTTGTTTACAATCTTTTTATAATGAAAAATAGGTAATTGAAAGCCGCTTTACTGAATTCTAAATATAATTTTAAACTTTCCTTTCTTTTACAGTTCTCTTTAATTTTTCAACTCGCCCTTCTGGCTTTTAATCTTTTGTAACTTATTAAAACATTACGTTCTTACTCCCGAAGTCGCTTGGTGTTCTGATTATGTATTTCTTCTTGTTTGATTCTTCGTTATTGACGGTAACTAGTTTAAACATTGTCATTTGCAAAATGTTTTTTTTTTATTATTGATTTTTCAGTCATGCCTGAGGAAGGTTTCATAGAAACCGAAACAGCTGTTGCGCCGATTAGCTAAGTTTTTCAAATACACTATTTTTTATCATAAAACCTTTGGTATGTTCTAAACTTATCTCTCTACAATGAACGTGAAATCACAATTATCTAAACTAAAATGTCACTTTTATATTTACGCTTGTAAAACTAGCAAAAATTTATATTTATCTTGCATAATTCTTGTATTAATTCCGCAAAGTATAAAATATATTTACAGTATGTCCCAGGACAGATGTTACAAGAGGTAAATGACCTACATATTTTTGAATTTTACTTTAAGGATGTGGAATTAAGCCCTGCGGATGTGAACAGAATTTTAAGAATATTATTATTTTTTGAAAATCAATTTGGCCTTGGCAGTGAAAAGAATTATTTTTAGTTCAGGTAAAGTAACTTTTTGTTCATGATCAGGCGAAATTTTATTAAGAAAAGTTGTTCAAAATGACAAATTATGGTTCTATGCAAAATTTCTCGACGTAAATTTTCTGTTCCAAGATTAACATAATGCAAGAGGAATTCAACTTTTAACTAGAACTGATCAATACCTGGCCACCATACGTAACTTCGTGCTAGAGATTTCATTCTTACGATTCCAGCATGTGACTGATGTAATTCTTCTAGAATTTGTTGTCGCAATTCCTCTGGTATCGCTACTCGAATTCCTCGTAATAGACGTCCGTCTTGAATGGTGAATTCTTCTCGAGGAAATCCTTTTGGCATTTCACCGTCCGTCTCTAGTGCAATATAAATCTTCTTCAGCAATGGATCTCGAAGTGTTCTTCTCCGTATTTCATTTTTCGTTATAGGTAATTGTTCGATTTGGTTGATTTGGAATAATTCATGTGAATCATGATTTAAAAATGATGATTTAGAAACTGGCATTCTGGATAAGTAATCCACGTTAGCATGAGCCTTGGTGTTGCGGTATTTTATTTCATAATTAAAACCTGAAATATAGTCAGCATAATGGATCAAACGAATAGCTGAAGTAGCAGGTAAATCTTTTTGTGGATGAAAAATTCGCACTAGTGGTTGATTGTCTGTTATCAACGTAAATCGTCGTCCATAACAATAATGAAAGAATTTACGCATTCCCCAAACTATCGCAGTGGCTTCCCTGTCTAGTTGGCTGTAGTTTTGTTCTGCTTTCTTTAAGGATCTTGAAGCGTAGGCTATTGGTCGTTCACTTCCATCCGACATCGTATGGGAAATAACAGCACCAAGTCCTGTGGGTGAAGCGTCTGTAGCCAATGTTAACGGTAATTCAGGATCGAATGGCGTTAGAACTTCTGTACTTGTAAGGGTTTTCTTGAGGTCAACAAATACATTTTCGCATTGTTTACTCCATATGAATTTAACATTCGTTTTTAATAATTGGTATAAAGGATACAATTTAGATGCTAAGTTAGGTACAAATGACTGGTAATAGTGAACTAATCCCAGAAAACTTCTCAATTGTGAAACGTTTGTTGGTCTTTCACTTTTTAAAATTGCTTCAACTTTCTTAGGTGCGGTGTGTAAACCCTTTGCATCAATTATGTGTCCCAAATAAGAAATCTGTTTTCTAAAAAACTGACATTTTTTCTTTTTAAGTGTAAATTGTTCTGACTTAGTCTCTGCATAACTACGCGTAGACGATGATACAATTCTTCCATAGTTGCACCCTGAACTGCGATATCGTCGAAAAAACAAACGACACCGTCCAAATCTTGCATCAATTTGTCCATGAATCGTTGCCATGCAGATGGAGCAGTTTTAACTCCGAACATTAGTCTNATTTTTGTTAATTTGCGTTCTTTTTGTTGATGGTAATATTTTAAGTTTTATTGCGACATTTTGTTGTTTACAATCTTTTTAAAATGAAAAATAGGTAATTGAAAGCCGCTTTACTGAATTCTAAATATAATTTTAAACTTTCACTGTCATTTGCAAAATGGTCATTTTTTTATTATTGATTTTTCAGTCATGCCTGAGGAAGGGTTCATAGAAACCGAAACAGCTGTTGCACCGATTAGCCAGGTTTTCCAAATAAACTATTTTTTATCATAAAACCTTTGGTATTTTTTAAACTTATCTCTCTACAATGAACGTGAAATCACAATTATCTAAACTAAAATATCACTTTTATATTTACGCTTGTTTTTGCTTATAAAACTAGCAAAAATTTATATTTATCTTGCATAATTCTTGTATCAATTCCGCAAAGTATAAAATATATTTACAGTATGTCCCAGGATAGATGTTACAAGAGGTAAATGACCTACATATTTTTGAATTTTACTTTAAGGATGTGGAATTAAGCCCTGCTTGATGTGAACAGAATTTTAAGAATATTATAATTTTTTGAAAATCAAGTCGGGCTTGGCAGTGAAAAAGACTATTTTTAGTTCAGGTAAAGCAACTTTTTTGTTCATGATCAGGCGATATTTTATTAAGAAAAGTTGTTCAAAATGACAAATTATGGTCCTATGCAAAATTTCTCGGCGTAAATTTTCTGTTCTAAGATTAACATAATGCAAGAGGAATTCAACTTTTAACTAGAACTGAGGGATAATACAATTTAAAGGAAAAATATAAACAGGTTTCTTCGTACTTTGAACTGGTCTGTAATTTAAAAAAATACAATAGTCTGACTAGTTTCGGCTTTTTGACATCTTCAGAGATTATTTTGAATTCAGAAAGAAGTTAAGATATATACATATTTTCTCATTTGACATTGTTGAGATCGTGAAGGTTGTTAATTACAATAAAATAATATTAAATAAATTACAATACAATTAATTTTCNCTATGAAAATTTGGTTTGCGGCATTATAAGTTTCACAAAAAAGTAGCTCAGGTTCGCGAAAACCGCAACTTTCTATCTTTCATAATAACTGAGATATCCTGCAAACCCATCGAAATTTGGACACCCTGTACTCTAATAAAGTATATATTGCACTTACAATCTAATATATAAGTGAAACTAAATTATGTAAATCGCCAAGAATTGTAATAATACTGCAAATAATCGAAACATATTCATAAACAACTTATTCCAAACAACAATTATTAAATCTCTAAAAATTAAATCAAAATTAACCTTGACAAAACTATACGAACTAGATTCGTGAATTTACTAAGAATATTCAGTAAGAGATGTTAAATCACTTCGGAAATTCAAGAATATTGTTCTTCAGAACAATAATTAAGTTCATTACTTGTGATTGCTAGCTGATGCCAACGTGCCATTAGCCAACCTTCTAGGTTCTGGTAGTGTTTCATTGACGGATTTATACAGTGGACAATACTTTCTAGTATGAGCATTATAACCATCTGCATAACAATACGGATACTTCAACGCTCTCAAAACCGGACATGAAACTTTACCTGTGGAATCTTTCAACGAATGACTTTCATAAAATTCTCGCCCCTCTGAATTTCTTCGACAAAACGTACAAGTTCTTGTTGATATGGCTTTTGACCACCCGTTTACGGTAGAATTGTTTCCATTGAGAAAATTATCCCACTTATGATTATCTTCCTGTTTGGCGATAGGTTGTCTTAAAAATGCCTCTTTCATTTTTGTCACGTAATAATCCATTGGTTGATTATTGCTAACTATGATCTCTTCTGATGAATATTTAAAAGGAATGTTATAGATGCTGGTGGTCTGGTGACAGAGCGAACAGGAAAATATATCAGGGTTTTTGTCGTTAATTAACAAATGACAACGTGATGGACATTTATCAGGAATTCCTTTGTAGCTATCAATCTTTTCAGTAGTTTGATGATTGGCAGAGAGTGGCTTTGAAGCTGTTACTGAAGCATCAGTTGGAATGTTTGGAGTATTCACTGTATAAAATACGGAAAATGTGTTAGTCATTTCTGTTTACATGAATACAAAAATAACGTAAAATAAATATAAATTCGATCTAAATAATCATAAAAGTATCTCACCTCCATCCCGTAGATTTTTCTTCAATATGCAGCCGGTGACATTCCCACCATTTATCTGTACAAAAAGGGAAAGATAAAAAATTATTTAAACTAAGATTAGAACTAAATCTAGAACTAACACTAGAAACTTTCGGGTTTTGCCGTGCGTCTTTTAATAAAAGGTTTGACGTTTCGGATGCCATGTCAAAAGCTCACTTCGAACCAGTTTCTGAAGAAGGTTGCAACATGGCATCCGAAACGTCAAACCTTTTATTAAAAGACGCACGGCAAAACCCGAAAGTTTCTAGTGTTAGTTCTAGTTTTAGTTCTAATCTTAGTTTAATTCACACCGGCCGTGAAAGCCTTCGTACTTATAAAAAATTATTATAATGCATATACCGTTTGAGGCATTTAAATTGACACTACCTATAGCTCATAAATCGTCAATTTTATCGAATAAGGTTTCAGATAAAACTTTCATCATATGAAGGGGAAAATATTCTGTATGGTATTCAGTTTACATTTTAGAAGCGCTATATATGTCTTTCAATTGTTAAGTTGTAACGCCTAAATATCTAACTTTAACAAAATAAAATCTAGACAAAGAGAAAAGAAATATGTTTACACCTAAGGACACACGCGAGTCCTCGACCGGCCGGAATTCTGAGTTGCAATAATTTTATTGAAATAAAATAATACTCGCATAAAATATAATCAAAAAATAATACAGGTAAGGTATTGTAATAGATAATGTAATTCAAAGGATAATATACTAAAAACAGAATTTGTTGTCAATGGTTCGCAAAATAAAACAAGCAAAAAAATAAAATGTGGCAAAAAAATTGAAACTCGCCAACAAAAATGTACGAAGGATATAAAATGAATTTAATTTAATCAATGAATTGCTTTTAATCAAAAAAATAATTGAATGAAACACTACATGAAAATTCCTCAGTGAGAACAAGATTAGTGCACGATTCTCCGGCAGAAATAAAATGTTGATGTTATCTGACCTTATGTTCGTTGACTATTCCGATCTGATCTGAAGGAACTTATCTACACCAGCAACTTTTGGTGTTCTATAGGAAAATTTATTTTTATTGAACAATTTTTCTTAATTGATGCAGTTGTTTCCAGTCAGTAACGAAATAGTAATTCCTCTCGGACCAAAGTTGTCTCCAAAATATTGGTAACCGAAGAAGTAATGAAATGAGATTATTCCACAAAAGTAAATCGAGAATAATATAGCTCCTCACAATAAAACCTGGTTAAAAGAAAATTAAAGAAGAATAGTAAAGAAAATTAAGAAGCATTACTAAAGATTAAATTTTAGGACGGTTTTTTAATTTTTCTTTGTAGAATAGTTTTAGGATAGTAGTTTTGTAGTACTAGAAAGGATGTGTGAATAGATGAATGGGTTGAATGAATAGTAATTAAGCAAATGCTTTCCTCAGGTGGTCTAGGTTTTAAGCAAAGAAAAATTTGGGAATAAGAAAATACGTTGAAATCCGGATGTACCGATAAATTCGAGAAAAGAAAATCACTTTTCTCACAATTAATCACGAATAATGAATCCCAAAAATTTGGATTGAAAAAACTCACAAAACCCCAAAAATTGCGATCTGACCAAAAATTCTAAAATCAAACGTGACTTCGCTTTTCTATACTTATCTTGAAAGAGAACGAGAAGGCTTTTGAACATACTTTTATACGAATGAGAAAAAATTACACCTGCGCAAAAATAAAGTCACAACACGGTCTCGAAATGAAAGGAAGAAATTCAAAGAATTAGGAATCTTTTAAGGAAAAAAAAAAAAAGAAAGGAGTATTGAGGATTACCAGGAGTATGCTGCTGTAAAAAAATCTTAATTAAAAAAAACAATGTAAAATATATGCATCCCAAAATAATGCAACTCATAATTCACAACAAAGACAAGTCAACAACATAAAACAAAAAGAAACAAAGTCTTTCCGTAGCTACCTAATTCATTCGTCACGTTTCACTAATTAAGCTTTCAGCATATGATTGCTGAAACGATTTAAATAATTTTAGTTTATGAGAAACATCAATGAGTTATCAATGATGCTCGAAATTTATGCGAAGATTTCCGAAAGAAACATTCCGTCCCATGCTCATTTTATCGTATTGTGAAATAATAAAAAGAAAAATTTTGTGAAAAATTTTTGAATTTTTGCCGTGAAAAATTTTGTTCAAGAAAAACGACGATGAGTGATAATAGTACAATCAACATTTAAGCTGCTGTTCGTAATAATCCACATATTTCTTCTCTCGCTATTTCTCGAGGTTGTACGCTATCCCAACTTAGTGTACTTTACATTTTATTTTTAAGTGAAGCTCATTTGTTTTATTGTGTTTGTTATGGAGAATACCATAATGATTAAAAAAGGGTAAGTATCTATTTAAAAAACCTTACTTGACAAATGAAATGAAATGAAAGACATAGATCGAGACCCTTCTGAAATGTAATGGGACAAATGGGAACTATGCAGAATATTTTCACCCTTTATCATCAAAGTTTTACCTGAAACTTTTTACGATAAAATTGACAGTTTAAGAGATATAAGGTGGTCTCAATTTAAATGCCACATCGATATAATATCGATAATTAGAATATACAGTATTACCATTATCAGGAAATAGTGAGTAAAATGATCTATGGTCACCTGCTAGAAATAACAAAAAAATATAGGCTATTATTATTACAGATAGTTAAAACGTTATTAAAACATCACATAATTATTATGATTGTTAGTGTAATTACATGAAGTAAATAAAAAAAAAGCAATGAAGTTTGTTAAACATAAACGTCATTAACATCACAGAAATATGCAATTACTATACTTGTCCGAAAAAATTAAACGACGATTCAAATGATTATTAAAATTAAAATATATCTTGGAACTTTTCAAGAATCGCCCGGTCGCTTAAAAATCGACGATTCTTTTTAATCGATAGGTAGTGACCTAAATGATGTTAACAATAAAAAAAGTGGGTTCATTTTTGTGACGTCACAAGCAATACTTTTTAAACATTTAACTTTTTTGTAAACATGCTTTTTCGTATTCAACCGGTCAACACCGAACCCACAAATTGTTTATTTTATAGCCACGCACAAAATAAATCTAATAAACTTAAAAGTAAAGTTATTTTTACTTAACTTGTAGAGATTACAACATATATTTTCGGATGAAATACCCTAGTTTCTTAAGTTTTCGATGCATAGCACTACCTAGATAGACTGTATCAATAGACTGTCTGTCAAGTGATACAAAAACCTACAACGACTGAAATGTCTTTATTTACCGTCTGTCTACTGGCGTGGATCTAAATGTTAGCGGTTTTCTTTCAATGGACCCTTCAATCCGTAATTTACAACTCGACATTTAGCGAATTCGCACTAGTTTAAATGTTAATTAACATAACTGAACATCCAATTTCTATACAAAATTCTGAAGTAAATCCAATCTAACCTAATCCTGACCTAATCCAACCCGGAATTTACACCTACCACCTGCATCAAACCCAACCGGTACCCAACCCGACAATTCGGAAATTCACACCAGTTTAAATGTTAATTAAACTAACTCAAAATCTGATTTCGAATATAGTAAGTAAAAATTAAATCATTGTCTCAAATTTAATGAAAGAATTAACAACTTGTTAATATTAATTTAATAATATTTATAACGCATATTTTCGGATATAATACATAATACAACGACTAAAAGTCTTTATTTACCATAAACCTGTGGGTGTGGACGGTTTTTTTTTGTCAACTAAACCAACCCAACCTGAAATTTACAACCCAAGGTTATTTCATCCGAAAATATATTAATTTTATAAAAATTTATGTGTAACGGTGGTTGCTGCGAAAATATATAGTTAGCATGGTTGATAAAGTCACAAAACGTGACGTCACATCAAAACTTTAAAGTGATTTTTAAAGTGATTTTTTTACTTTTCCGCACTTTTTCTTTGTATTGCCTTCAATTAAAAAGAATCGATTTTTATGCGACCGAGCGATTCTTGAAAAATGCCCATATTTTTATTCAAAGATAAATACGTCTAATTGATACGAATGTTAACAAAATGAATTGTATATAAAATAAATACATATTTGTTATCTTGGAAACGAATAAAAATATATAATTTTCATAAACAATTTGATTTTTTAAATAATTCAAATAGTGATCAACCATTTAATAAAAATTTAGAAAAAATTCGATGCGTTCAATTTTTAAAGATTGCCCTACATTATTGGATTATTTAAACAAAATTAAACGGTTTGAACGTTAAAGAATAATTTTTGCATTTACCAATTTTAGATGACACAGACCCTAACAGATTGAATGGCTTATATCCTTCGGGCGGAGGAACTCGTTCATCAATGCCGGCAATATTGACAGTAACGTCACAATGAACAACTGAATTAAAAAATACTAAAATGAAGTATATAAAACCCAAACCGTGTAATAGAATTTACATTTTTTACGTGCGGCCAGCAACATATTCATATTTACATATATAAAACCCAAAACTACTCACAAATTTTCGATATAAGAAGAGAATTTTTAATAAGTTGTAAACATCTCCGCGGGGTAAACTTAACCTAAACTTAACACAAACACTAAACATCGGTGAGGTGACTGAATTGGAAGGCCAAGCGTCTGCGGTTTATATAGGGGTAGGATTGACGATGTAATACAGGGGCGTGGCTTAGAAATTAACATTGTTCTTTGTATGCTAAAACGTACACTTTTATAGCAGCGAAAATACTAGAATAAATTGTTGAAAAACTTGAATAATGTTCGATTAAGTGTAAAATTAGGTTCTATCATTATTTTACATTGAAAGTTGTTAATTACAACTTTGATACGAGATTTTGTATTGAAGTATCGATACGGGTCGTGTTAACAGTTTCTACATCCGCCCAAGGTTCGTAAAGCGCATTGTACAATACGCTTTACGGACCTTGCATCCGCCATGCTGTCGCCAGACAAACCGGAAACCCGCCCTCAGAAACTTCGAGTTGTTCTCATAAAAGGAAATAAAACCTACCCATATTTTCTATAAACTGCAAGAAATTATCAAAGTATTAATTCTGCCTCTTAATGTAAAGAACTACACTTATTATCTTTCTATAAAATATTACTATGAAATTTTAATAGTTATATTTAATTTTAATATCTGCGATGAATAAATGTGTTTATTCAAAATTGTAATAAATTGTTGACATTTGTTGACATTTGTTGCATTGTTTATTCTTATTTTTACTTTCCTTTGAAACTAGGAGGATTGAATACAAAACTTAGATTTACAATAAGAAATATCATTACAAAATATCACTGGATATTTTTGGCGATAAATTTAAATTCACTATATTATTACATTAAACGAAATGTTCCACTTATTATTAATATTTATTTAGCATTTCGTCTATTTTAAACATACAAGTTAGCATGAATGGTTTAAATACAGGGTGTCTCACGTAACTGGTTCGTTAGAACTTTTTTAGGTTCCACTATTCGTAGAGGTTTGAAATTTTGGTAGCATGGGTTGTTCATTCTAAACTTTCAATCTAAAATATTTTCAAGATGGCCACCACTTCCGGTCTACCGGAAGTAGACCACAACTTCGTTATTTTAAATGGAATGCTATAGTTTTTATTACACCTTTCAATTATACATAAAAAAATATGTTGACTTTGATAAAAGTTGTTGGTACCTACCATTTTTTGTTTTCGAGTTATTTTGATTTTAAGCTTTTTTTGGCAAATTTCACCATGCTCTTTAAAAGCCTATATCTCAGTTAACGTTCATTAAAAAAACCTCTAAATTGGCACGATTACTCTTCAGATGTTGCCAAATAGATTGTCATTTCTTGTATCAGAGTATCTTATACAGGGTGGTCAAAAATTGAATTACCGTTTCTCCATATTCAATGGCTAGAAAGTCGAAAATTTTAAATGGAATACCCCGTATTTTTTTACCCTATCAGAAAGGGAATTTAATTCTCTACAAATTATCTATAAACATTCCTATACCTATTTATTGTAGTTTCCCTGATATTGGGACATTAATCAAAGCATGCACGGAATGCGGGAAAACGTTTGATTTTTTTATTAGAAGGCAATGGAATTTTGACAGTTTTTGGTCCATATTTGTGTTATTGTTGTTGTTACTTACTTTTGATCACGAGTGAAAGTCATTGTATATCATGGCAAATTATTCCAACGCCGATATTTTAAATTTGTTTTATATTCATGGCAATGGCCTCCACGATCTCCAGATTTAACACCATTGGATTTTTATTTGTGGGGTCACTTAAAAAATCAAGTGTACAATTCACCGATCAACACACGACAAGAGTTGCGTGATAGAGTGATGCGTGCACTACGTACTATTGATGGCGACCAACTTCTACGGGCCACAACCGTAGAAGTCGAAAGAAGAGTTGAAAAATGTTTAATGGTGAATGGTCAGCATATCGAACAGTTTTAATTTTTTTATAATTTTAAGTTTTTGTTTTTTTATATGTTATTCATTCTAATTTCTGTTATTAAATTGTTGTTTTTCATTGTTTCATTTATTCGTTTTTCTGTTGGTTATTTTTGGTAAATAAAAGCGAGCAAGCTAAAGGTTATTCAACCATAGTTAATTGTAGAAATAATACCAATAATAATTTAAATAAATTAAACGATGAACTGTCAAAATGTCTTGGCCTGCTAACAAAAACACAAACGGGCTTTGGGATTCTATGTCTGATTTTGATTAATTTTCCAATATCAGGGAAACTACAATAAATAGGTATAGGAATGTTTATAGATAATTTGTAGAGAATTAAATTCCCTTTCTGATAGGGTAAAGAAATATGGGGTGTTCCATTTAAAATTTTCGACTTTCTCGCAATTGAATATTGAGAAACGATAATTCAATTTTTGACCAGCCTGTATAAGATTCTCTGATATAACAAATGACAATCTATTTGGCAGCATCTGTGGAGTAGTCGTGCCAATGCAGACCTTTTTTGAATGATCGTTAGCTGAGATATGGGCTTTTAAAGACCATGGTGAAATTTGTCAAAAAACACTTAAAATCAAAATAACTGCCTAAAACAAAAAACGCTAGGTACTAACAACTTTTATCAAAGTCAACATATTTTTTTACGTATAATTGAAAGGTGTAATAAAAACTATAGCATTCCATTTAAAATAACAAAGTTGTTGTCTACTTCCGGTAAACCGGAAGAGGTGGCCATCTTGAAAATATTTTAG